GGAGACAGGAGGAAGAGCTGCAGACTAGGCAATGGTCAGATAAGAGGCAGCTGAGCCTGCATAAGAAACGAGGATGTGGCAAACATCTCAGAAGGGACCCTCTCTAGTTTCTTGGACTGTAAAGGTGAGGGGGGAGAGATGTAGTTTGAGACTTGCAAAATTAGTGCCAGCCTTGTGAGGTAGTCTAGACAAGAAGCACACCGAGGTGTCCTAGCTCTATCTTTACAGGAAGGTAACATTAACAGAATCTTGCACGCTGGCCTGTGTAAATTAGCCTGCTTGCCAAACTGCTGGTGGGGAAATTAGGTTTCTCTTCCAACATTACCTTTTGTCACCCATGAAGATCCATGGGTGTACCTTAAAGGTACTTATCTTTAGCTTTTCCCCAAAGAGAACAGCAATAACTCTTCTTAGGCCTTCGGCATAGCTGTTTTCAGCAGGCTGATTGTTATTTTCCTCCTATTCCTGTTTCTGGAAAAACAATCCTCCAGGTCATTATCGCCGACTTTAGAGTGACCATCTTGGAAAAAGGAGACTTTAACAGTGCCATTGAGTGAGAGATCACTGAACTCACATACATCAAAAGGTTTCAGGCAATCTCAAAAGATCTCAAAGTGTCATTTTTGTTAATTGATCTTGTAAGCTGTTTTATGTGTAACCTGCCTGTCTTCTTCCTCCTCCACGTCATCCAAATTTAAATCCTATATCAGTCTAACCACACAATGCATCTTCTGTAGTTGTTGCTGTAGTTCACAAAAGCTTATGCCTTTTAATACAATTAAAAAAACAGTGTTAAAAGATGCCTGATTTTTTCTGCAAGAGACTAATATGGCTCCCTTCTGTGTGAAACAAGCACCACAGATCTCTCTGGGTTAGTTAGAAGTAAAGTGTTATTGGAAGCGTTTGCAAAGGCTGGTGGACTTCGTTGCAAATAAGAAGCCACACCCACATACACACTCCGGCCTAATTATATACATTCCCAATCGCAAGTCCTTCCCCTTTTCCCCAGTGGCTAAGGTACTCAGGGTGTACAGTCTTTCCGGCTGCTCTATGATTTCTTCCTGGGCCCTCCCACCTCATCTATGGTAATTGCTCAAGGTTTCAGCTAATTGCATTATACTGATAAAGACTGCCCCAGGTTAA